TAGGAATTAACCCTATTCTCTTATATATCTGTTAGACAAGTTATAGCGAGTAGAATAGATCCAATTACAGATCTTTACGCATTATATTTTGATGCAGAGTTTAATCTTATTCTCATAACAAGATAAGTGAGCATATAGGCGATGCTATTCTTCAATGTTCGTATTGATATGAAATTGAAAAGATTGGGTCTAACAATAAGAAATTAAAAGGCACATAAAACTTTTCTAAATAATGTACAAGCTAGCAAGACTATTTTCTCAAGGTATTATATTTTCGAAACTTCCAAGCATAACAGAGCTCATTCGAAATCAACCTTCTTTAAGGAAAAACAGAGCTTCATTGGCTCTATTCAGTGCTATACTTGGTTTTGAAAAAAACTAAACATTTAATGAGAATATAGTTGATAAAGATTGACAACTTGAATCACTTTCTCTCTTTACCTAGACGTCCTTTTAGATAGCTCCTTATACAAATAATTCCAAGAAAATTTCGATGAAAAATGTATTACAAGACCCGCGTCTTCTATTATGAATTTCATATCATATTCCAAAAGGGGTCTTCTATTACGAGAGGGGGTTTAGTGCCTAATGACTGCTCGAAAGTATTACGATACATACTAGAAAGTCTGTTCATTATCCATGGCAAAGCGAACTGAACATGATCTGTCTATTAGGTGGCGATCCTGAACGGTTCTATGGTCACCCGTATAATACAGACTATTTCCGACATGTTGCATTTTCATAAAGCTCCGTCAATTCAACAGCGATTCCTGGCGTTTCGAGCATGCTGACAACACTTTAATCTCTGCTTTATGTTCGTGGCATAATTGACTATACAACATGAGATACAAGTTCGCTATTATTAAAGAATTAGATGTTTGATAACATGTTATATCAATAAAACTAGAACCCTATGTAAACGCCTATAAAATGTAAACTACTCTTCACGTTCAAGACTTTAGCATCATAACATACAGGTCATCAAATCAAAAGTAACATATAAAATTCCTAATCAGAATCTTCACAGAAAAAGCATATAACCTATAGCCCTGAAAACCTTACCATCCAATCATTCTAAGTAAAATGAAACACTCTGCTTCTCCTTTTCCCACTTTAAGTCTGACTTTTGCGTTCCTTAGTCCTTCTGGACCGACTGAACGAAGTTTCTTAGCTATTCGATTTAAGCCATCTGATGAGACCCTTTAAAAAAGGTCGAAATCGCGATCATGGCTTCTTCACTCATCCTCACCCTCAAGATTACGCCATCAGGCTAGCCATCTAAGTTACCAAATAGAACCATCGACAAACAACCATTATTAACATACAGGACAACTAATAGAGCTCAGAAAAATCATATCATTTCTTATAAATTCAATGTAACTCAATTTCTCCTATCTATTCACAATACTACTCTAATGTAGCCTATAAGATTCAGAACATACCTGATGATGAACCCCTAAGCAAGGTTCGAAACGCGCTGTATGCTGCTTTGAATCTAACTTCTGAAACTCATCTTTACCCCACACCCTCACCCACACCCACACCCACACTCCCTTTCATCACAATTTAAAAATTCAGCTTGAGTTTTGTATGCTTCAGGTATGTAATATGATCCACGAAATTCTGGATATTTGTATAATAAACTAATGAGAATATAAAACATCTGTTCGTTTTGTTTTTCTTTTTTTTCAAATATAACTGACTAAGCAAACGTTTTTATTCCCAATTTCTCAATTTTTTTTACATCAGGCCATGTTTGCTTTATTTGTTGAGCAACAACATCAAAATTGGAAGCATTTGCATTTGATGGTGTTGTTGTCGATGTTGAAGTTGAGCCTGCATAACATATTGTTACTGTAAATATGAAGTATACTATATCTTAGTTTTGTAAGTACCTGAAAAAGACAGGAAAAGAAATTTTATAATTTTGAATTGTATTTGATTAGATTGATATGTATGTATGTTTTAAGAGTGATCATATAGTTTTATGCAGGACAAAGATTTCTTTGTTTTTTCAAGCTAAAATAGTCTATAAGTATAGATATTCGGAATTATAGATTTATTTCATACTCGAATAGTCGAATGAAAAAATTATTTAGTTAGAAAAAAGAAAACAATAATAGAATTTCTTTTTTCTTTGTTAGTTGTTTAACCACAGAAGACATGATAATACTTTATGACTGTACTCGATTAAGAGACAAAAGTCTCTGCAATAAAATTATGATTTACAACAAGATAGAATTTTGAAACCATGATTGTCAATAAAAAAAAAGGTTTGTTAGTACAATCCTTATGGGATTAAAATTTGAACTGTTTCTTTGCTTGATCCCATTTATTTTGGTATAAATTGATTTATCCATGTAAGAATGTAATAAACAAATAATTCATATAGTCTCCGAAAGCTGTCTGCAAGGCACAGGTCCGAATTTCTATCTCTATACAGTTTAACACTCTTATGAGAATTCTATATTGTTTTAGATGTCAACAAAAGAACTTTGTATACATTTAACAGAACTTCATGCAAAATCGTTATTGAATGATAATGATACATTTTTGTTTGATTGCGATGGTGTTCTTTGGAATTTTCCTCATATCTTTACAGGTGCAGTTGAATTATTAAATTATTTGACAGAACAAGTATGAAAATAATTTTTTTTTCTTTGAAAATAATTTGAAATTTTTTTTCTTTATAAAGGGTAAACGATTATTTTTTGTGACAAATAATTCAACGACAACACAAGATGATTATGCAAAACGTTTCAATGATATTGGTTATAAAGCTAAACCTGTAAGATGATTTTTAAAAATATATAAATATGAAATATCTATTTGTATGATTAGGAACAAATTATTTGTACGGCATGGCTTACTGCTCAACATTTAAAATCAATTAATTTTAAAGGAAAATGTTATGTACTTGGAATGCAATCAATGAAAGATGAATTAGAACGAGAAGGTTTTCAAATTTGTGGTGGTATTGGTGTAAGTATTCAAATTAATAATAAGAAGAAAAGTTATTTTTCTTTTATGATTTAGCCTGATCCTGTACCTTCCGATAGCAATGCAGTCACAGTAGATACACTTGAATTAGAAAAAGATGTTTGTATTTATTAAACTTAATGTTCATTTTGATATTTTGTTCTTCATTATATATATATGAATGTATAGGTTGATTGTGTGATATCAGCTTTTGACTTACATATAAGCTATATTAAAATTCTTAAAGCAGCAACTTATCTTAATCGACCAAACGTCTTGTTCATAGCAACAAATGATGATGCAAGTCATCCACAAAATGATGAAATAGTTAAGCCCGGTAATTATAATGCAAAATAAAATATTATAAATTTAATTAGTGAGTTTTAGGTACTGGTTCAATTTTGGCTTCTGTTGCAATAGCTTCATGTCGTTCACCTATAATACTTGGTAAACCACATGCACCAATGTTTGATGCTATTCGTTTAGCATTCCCAGATGTTGATCCTAAACGAACAGTAATGATTGGTGATCAGTATGATTTAAACTACCGACATAAACACTTTGTTTATCATTCATTTTTAGAGTTGAAACTGATATTGCTTTTGGCAATCGACAAGGCACAACAACATTACTTGTATTTAGTAGAGCAACAAGGGAGAAATATTTGAATACTCTTAAACAACAAGTAGAAAAACATACAGCTGAACAAGATCTTTTACCTCATTTTTGTGTCAAAGATGTCGAACAATTTTTACAATTTCTTAAATCAAATGAAAGCAACACATTATTATAAGCTTTATTTTATTTGATATTTACCAACATAGGTTAAAAATAATAACAAAGAAGAATAATCCATAGATAGTTTTATTTAATAGTTTCTTGTTATTTGTTTTTCAAAGCTAATTAACTTTCATGAATACAATTGAATTTTTTTTTTGATTTCGCAAAAAAGAAATTTCACTTATTCTTGAGAGGCTAGCAGGATCTGTTTATTTAATGGAAATGTTTTAGGTATGAATATATTTCAGCACACCAATACTTTGCATGTCTTGAGAAACTATAGAGAAATTATTGGAAAGTTCTAATAAATCTCGATAAAATTAATAATTCCTGCTAGAGTCTGCTGATATTTACATCTCCAGAAAATTATACATGACTCTTCGATATATTTCGAATATGCCAAAAGATGAATGAGTCTAAAAAAATCGTGCTTTCTAAGGAGATAACGATCATAGTTGATAGAGCGATTTAATATGAGCCGTTTATCATGTCGAAACGAGGAGTGGCACTTTAACTTTAAACTTTACAGATTAAAGTAGCTAAAATTTAAAGTCCCACTTTAAACTTTAAAAGTTAAAGTTTAACCTTTCCGGACGGCGGTATAAGGGTTATACCACCTAGTTTTCCGTTGGGAAAAATATTTCATTTACACTTAAGTATTAAAACTTAGTATACATACAGGCCATCGAGTGCACCAACTGTCATGTTATACATATCTTTTCTTGATGCTGCACGTATTCTTCTCAGACATTTGTTTTTCTTTCTATGATTGTACAATGAGGGTGTGGGTGTGAGTGTGGGTGTGGGTGTGAGTGGGTGTGGGTGTGGGTGTGGGCGTGGGTATAGTTAGAACTACATTCCCAAACTCCATACCCACACCATCCACATCCACACCCACTCACACCCACACCCACACCCACACCCACACCCACACCCACCCCCACACCCCACCCCCACACTCACACCCACCCACACTAACACCCACACCCAGATCCACACCCACACTCACACCCACTCACATCAACACCCACACCCACTCATACCCTCTAGTGACCTCTTTTTCCTATGCTTTCACTATGAAGAGAATAAAACGATAGAGATGGAACAATGACCACTTTGTTTCTACTTGGATATATATATATACAGGGAATATGCAGTTATGAATCATATCGAAATTCGTTGACAGTATATTAATCTTTCGTGCTTATATACATTAACAGCAATTAACAATTAGAAACATTATGGCTGCCGGCGACAATGATTCAGCATCTGCAGCAGTAATGCACCTACAATTACAAATTAAACAAGAAGAAACAACAAAAGCACAAGTAATAGCAAACGCTAAGCTGGAAGAAGCAAAAATAAAAGCAAACGCCAAAGTACAAATAGCACAAATAAAAGCACATGCCAAAGTACAAACAGCACAAATAAAAGCAGAGCTTGCAATGAAAAAAGGAAAAAACACAGATGAAATCGAAGGATCAACGCCAATGAATATTCTATATGGACAATCATCATCAAGCAAAAAAAGATTGAACGCAGTAATGCATAATCGTGGTTTTTACGATATTCATGTACGTGATAATGCTCAACTGCTTGATATAAAATCTTTATTAAATGATAATAATAAGATTAATGATGATATGATGAATGCTCTTGAAAAGTGTTTTGATCCTTTGAAATTATGTGATAAAAAATTAGAAAGCTCAATTCAAGGTGCATTTGATAGTTCACTTAATAATGTATTTAATGAACTTAGTGCTTTAACATCATTGAAATATTTAAACACATCACATTGTAATTATTTAGAAGAAAAAGCTCCTGATTGTAGTTTTATATTGAAAAATATTAATATCGACAAGAATAACCAACGTGCAATTTTAAAAGATTTTATTGTTTGTCTTGGTGAATTAAAGAGATTTGATGCAAATATTGTCAAGGAAGATCCAATTGGACAAATATCGCGTTATCTATATTATATATTAGATGAACAAAATCGTGAAAAAGTCTATGGATTTTTGACAAATGCAGAACAAAGTATATTTTATTGTCTTCAAAAGAAACCATTGTCAGATATATATGATTATTATGAAAGTAACCCATTAGAATTTTTTACTGGCTTGCCTAAAACATCATCTGTTCCTGCAAAAAAGAAACAAAAAACGTCGAATGAAATTTGTTTAAACATTGATACATTGAAAATATTTACAAAATTCTTAACAATGGATTGGGAGTTTTATGGCTACACAATGTTAAATATAACTCCTAATGATCGTTTATGTGAAGATAAATTTAACATAGAATCAAAAGCAGGAAGCGGTTTAACTTCAATAGTTTATGTTTTAAACCAAAATAATGCAAATGTCAATAATGATACGAAGCGCTATGTAATAAAAATCTCGACAAACGATGAATATTCAGATTATTTTAAAAATGAAGTTAAAATGTTAGAACCATTGAAACAATCACAGAATTCGATTAACTTCAAAAAATATTTTCAAAATATTTTTGCATCATCGCCTACAGGTAAATTTTGATGATTAAAATTTAAAAGAAGATTTTCAATCCATTGAAAATCTATTGAAAAAAAAATAGAAAATTTCGTTTTTGCTTTGTGAAGTGTTGAAAGAAATATAATGAAACAGAAGATTTAGTGAGAAGCTAATATGAAAGAAATCGTAGGTTTTCAAAAGATTTTGTTTCAATGAGATTTGGAAGAAAAAAGAGTTCCTCATCATAATAAATGAAGAACTCGAAGATTGATTTTCTGTTAAGAGAATAATTCGAGTAAAATAATTTATTTTTTCTCTGTTGATTAGATATGAAATAAAATAGAAGAAAAATTTTAAATTGTTGAAAATTAATCTATGATCAATTTCTTTTTATCCGCTCGTTTTTGAGATTTCTATAGTTAATAAAAAAGGAATACAAAACTATATAAGTTTATATTTTTCTGTATTTATGTAAATATAAAATTTGAAATCAGAAGATTTTAATGCAAAATTTAATTTAATATAAATATTTAAACTTTTTGGTTTTTGATGATTATATATGTATATACATAGATGATTGTCTCGAAATTCAATAGATACGAAAAAAAAGAACTTGAATATTTTCTGTGACTTTTTAATTAGATGAGTAGATTTTTGTTTCTAAGGTTAGAGAGCAGATCTAAGTTTTTATTCATGAAAGAACATATCATTCATATATATAAATCTAGCTAATTGTTTTTTACTATATAACTAGTCAACTTTAAGACTAGAATGTATTTACCATCTGTAAATAGTTGTATGATTGTTATTCCGTATTAAAAAAAATAGGTCACTTGCTATGGCCGCCAATCATTGTTTAACTTTGGTTTTCTTGAAAAATGAAGGATGATTTCTCTGATAACTATCAGTCATACTACTTGATAAATCAATAAAATAATATCTTACAACTTTTTTAGGTTTAGAGTCATGAGAAAAAATACTCCAATATGGCACTTTAGTTATTTTCAGTGCATTGAAATAAAAAATTTATAATGAAAGAAAATTTATAAACGTTCCTTAAGCAATTTAAATTTCGGAATTAGTTTTACGAATAAATTCCAATATTCACACAAATCGGAATAAGGAGTTAGGCGAGAGATCTAAAATTGCAAATGAATAGATATGGAGTTATCGTTGGATTTAGAGCGTTAAGAAAATATTTCGAAAGTTCGATTCATAATTATGGAATTAAGAATACGTTTAAGTGAATAGATTTAGAAGTTTAAATTCAGTAATATGGATTAAGGATAGGTTGAGGAATAGGTGATTAAAGAATACATTAAATGGTAAAGATTGAAGAATGAATGTTGCAGATAGATTTTGGAGAAGGTACAGATTAGAAATGTACTGGATGGAAACCAAAAATTATAGTTGACATGGACCGAGACTGAAAAAAATAAAAAATATTAACTCTCGCAAATATTTGTCATTGACAAGAAAAATAAGCAAGTACCAACTCCTACAAATTATTCAAGATTGAAAACCAACAGATTCTACTAGTTTCTCTAAATGCGGACAATTAACAGAAAAATTAGGAGTATCATTTTCCGGTTACTTAATTTCAAATGTAATTTCTTTCAAATTTCAGAAATTTTAGTTTAAAATGAACTTGAATCTGTTAAACTCGAATTAACAATGAATAAATATTCATGAAATTTGGTTTTTATGTTAAATTGAAATTTTTCAAGGGGTTTTTCTGGATTTAGTAATTGTTTTTTAATTGTAAATTAATCATCTATAAGAAAAACTTAAGTCAGTGAGACTAGAACTAGAACGAAAAAGAAACAAATTTTAATGGAATTGGGTCAGAAGCGGAAAAGATCTACCGGTGCTGGGACCAGGATCGCGACCGAAAAAAATTCATGGGATCGGAACTGAAACAAGTTGGTCTCGTCTATTTCTACTAAGGATAGATGTAAAACATTAGGGATGTTTATTGCGAGTATGAGACTGGTATCGAATAAATAAGATAGAATTTTATTAAAAAAAAAAACAAAAAAGGCTGGTTATAAGGCTAAGTAGATAGAAATAGACACGTTACATAGTAGGAACGTATCTGATAGTTAGAGTGATGTATAACTATACGAACATTGATGTCTGAAGAGTGATGTATGAATATAATAGTAGAATATTGAATCTAGTGAAAAACAAAATCATACTGCAGAACCTTTTTCTTCGAAATGAAAATAGCTATCTTCATGGAACCTTGTTTTTCTTTCAATGTAAATATAATTGTAAACTAAAGAGTCGAAATGAATCAAATTTATAGATTAATTAAAACAAAATGTAAATTATAAAACTTATATTTAAATTTTCTTGAAGAAACTTCATTCGAATATTCTTCGCATATCGTTAAGATTTGAAACGTATTTATCAGTTATCTAAGTAGTGCGAAAGTTTTGAATAAACATTAAGATAGATAAAATGATCGAAGAGACATTATTTCAAAGTACAAGTAAACGTACAAAGTACAAGGTTTTTGTATTTGATCATCAATAGAAAAGTATTTGTCTCTAAATTGAAGTATAGGTATAAAATACTTTTTCCAAATTACAAGCATAGGTACGAAGTGCATTTGATCAATAGTTGATTTTTGTACTTTTGGAAAAGTATGAAAAGTACAATTACGAATACTTTCGTACGAATTCTGATTTAAACAAATGAACTGTTAATGTTCTCAATATGTTTAAGATTTCAGATTGAGTTTTAATAGTACATTTATTAGAGATGGGCGAGTCAAGTCAAGTCAAAGTCTGAGTTTACGTGATAAAACGCTTTTTTAATCTTCTAGAGAGTGAAATGTTTTGAACTCTTAACGAAGATAAGTGTTACTGGATGATTTCGATTGAGCATTTTTGATTATTGCTATTTGTTAATTTGATACTACAATTTTATAGCAGCTGACCAACTTTAGGCAATAGAATGCCTGATGTTTTCTATCAATTTTACAGGTTCATTATTTTGTTGTTTTTCTCTGAACCATTTCATTGACTTGACTTGCTCAGCTCTGTTTCCTTCGAGTTAAATTACTTGGAGAAAAAAAAATGTTGAGGTACCGCTTGACTTGATTTGTGACTTGAAATACCTTGGACTTGCCCAACGCTGATATTTATTATGAATAAAGTCGAAATAAATTGTTTTTTTTTTTCAAGAAAACTTTCATGATTGTTGAGAATGAATAGAAATTCAGTGATGCACAAGAATTTTTTATAACGACTATTTAATATAAAATTGTTTTTTTATTTTTTTATAGAAAATGTCGGAATTATAAAAAAGAAAAGTTTGAGATAGATGAAACAAAAGAATTTACAAATCTAAATAGAAAAATTCTTAAATGGAGAGTATTAATAAATAGACATGATCAAGTAGAAAATCGGTGAAAATGACGAATTTTTATTTTCAATAAACTGTCAAGTTGTTGTTTAATAAAAAAAAAAAAAAGACTTTTATTCAAGTTTAATTTTTCTAATATTGATCATGTTTTTTTTAATCTAATTTCTTAAGTTTTTAATACTTTCTCGGATATGATTTCTTATTTAACTTAAGTGCATTGTTAATTTTTAAATATTATTAATTGCCAATTAAGATTTAGATCAAATTTTACAGTAGTTATTTCATGATGGGTCATAATCTTTATTTGTATTTGAATATATTACATAGAAAATTATTCATTAATGAAGAAATAAGTTAAATCCTTGTTATTAAAATGTTTGTTTAAAGATTCATTTTTAAATTATATTTATTACATTGGCTTTCGCTTAAATCAAATATTGTAATAAAGTATTTTACGATGTTATTATATATTAGTTTAGAATGAAAAATTAATAAACAAAACAAATGATTTAAGTCTATTTCTTATTGATAAAATGAATTCTATTTGAATTTATATCTGATTGAGTATAAATTTTCGATTAGAAAAATTTCATATCGAAAATCTTTATTTCACGATCATTCAAATACTATTTTATTTTAAAAATAATTTGTTTATTTTTTTTTTCAGGTCATTTTATAATATTTGAAAATTACTTGACACGTTTGACATCATTAACATTAATTCAGGCACAACAACTTATTAATATCATTGAATATTTATATAATTGTTGTATTATTCATCGTGATTTACGTCCAGATAATTTGATGTTAGATTATAGTGAACAACATTTAAAACTAATTGATTTTGGTTTTGCTACAACTTATAAAATCGATGAAATGCCAAAGTCAATGCCTATTGAAGGAGCAGTTTCATATGCTGGCTTAAAATTTTTAGATTATTATTTCGAATTACTATCGAATTATTCAGTTAATTTCTTTTATAATTATGAACGAACGTTTGATCTACAATGTGGAATAAATATCATGATGTATATGTCAGATGATAATATTAAAGAGAGAATGATATCAATTAAAAAAGAGTTGTCTGTTAAAACACGAGTAGCAAGATTACATCATGCATGGCTTAGTGTAAAACATAGCAATGATAATTATTCTGAATTATTAAAGTTAATTAATTCTTTAACAGAACCACCAAATTTTGATGCCATCAAACGTGAAATAGAAAAACGTCTAGTATTTAAAAATTAAGATGATCTTTATAATCACATGTATGGTCATGTTACTGATAAAAACTTATAAATAATTTGGTAGTTGAGATTTTTTTCTGTTATTTTTCTGATATTGTGTTTCTTTGTTTATTTTTTTTGCATTTTACGTTCATGTTCATATAATAAATATTATTTACAAAGAAATAAAGTTGACTTATTTGATTTATTATTTAATCTATTTTTGAATTAAGGGATCATAATGATTTATTTATATACCGATGAGATGCTCCTCTTTTGAACATTAAAATACTCAACATCAGTGTCGAGATAAAAAGAAACAAAAAAAAGTTTTAAGATTCAAGAATTGATATTGTCGAAATGAATCTTTTTTGGAAAAGACGAACAGATCTGACTATGATATTTGATATTCAATATTCATATTTATTTGATTTTTCTTCGATTCAGAAAATTCGATAAATAAATTTTCCAAATTTTAGTTAAAAATGACGTTGTTCACTTCGAATAGTGGAGATGAATAAGAGAGTACAATTTTCTAAATTTAAAACTAAGTCGTATGTTATAAAAGGATGAAAGTAAACAATATTACTGTATCGCAATGAACACATTTCATCAATGGACTAAAACAATTTTGTGTTTGGGTAACGTGAAGACAAAATATTTAAAAACGAAGTGGTTTTAACTTATTCTTTATAGTAATAAGTAGAAGAAATTGAAGAATAGATTTTATTACGAGCCAGTTCGCATAAGTCACAACCGATTCCCTCAAAGGCTGCTCAATCGATAGTCTTCATTCGCCTCGTTTTTTCTTGGATGATAGAGGCAATTCTTTCATGAATTTCTACACAAGCCGTTTTAAAAAATTTTGTTCCGTTCTTGAGATATTGAAGCTTTCTGAGAGCACCCTCATGAAAAAATGACAATTTTTGCCATTTTTTCTGAGATCGATATCTCTTCAAGGAAACACCTATTTCACTTGAAATTTTTACTGTATGTTTATCTCTAGGTGAGGTATTTTTTTTATTAATTTAAACTAGAATGGATGAATCATTGATGGGTTGGACTAGAGTACTAGATCCATTGAAAAAATTGCGTTTTTCTGCATTCTGTTCATATACATATTAATTGAATGAATAATGCCAGATAGCTAAAATTTTAACCACAGAGAGATCTCATTGAATAGTAACTATGTTGCAAATTTCAGCTCTCCAGCTAGTTCCATTAGCCCAGGGTACTATTCTCAAAATTGCAATTTTGATCAAAATCACGATTTTTTCGGAGGTCTATCTAGAGCAAAATCAAGTCTATAGAGGGCTGGTATTTATAGATTCAAACAACACTCTTATTACTATAAAGCCATACAAGAATCAGGATGGGACACTATAGAATACAGCGCAGGGACTTATTGAAAGATGAGTCATAAATTGGGCTCCTGATTCTCATATAAAATAATCATAATAATTCACAAATTGATGAAAAATTTATCCTATAGACAATTTTTCACGTAGAATCTGATGGTAATATTCTTTCGATTATTATCGTAAGTTTTAGCCATGTTTCGCCCCATCCCTCTCTCACCATCCGTCAAGACGTGAAAGTGATATTTTCCAATTTTTAACCATATATAATGTCGTCTATGATATTTTTGAAGAGAATGAAAATTTATACAATTGTTAACAGTGAGTAAGATAAACAGTTTCAATTCATCATTTTGATTATATTGTTTACTCATACTACCATCTCACTCTGATCAATTCTTTCAAAATGGCATATAATTAATCATTCATCTACAACTTATCCTTGTTCATGTCTGTGAGAATTTTCTTCTTGTCGTTAGACAAATATGTGTAAAGTGAAATGCATATTCACCAAATAATTCAAATAATTAATAACTTTATGAGTATGGCTCATTGATTGAAAGAGAAGCGAGGTTGGAAAGAAAAAAAAGGATGGTTAAAGGGTGTGGGTGTGAGTGTGGGTGGGTGTGGGTGGGTGTGGGTGTGGGTGGG